TTGATTTTCAGCCCCCAAGTGACTGTGATGGAAACCCATGTGGCGGCAAAAGTCATGAATACGCAAACACATTAAAATAGATAACTATATAATGAAAAATAAACGTCACCTGTTTGGTCGTCAATTTGGAAATTGCTTGTATCCAGCATGAATGTGATGTCACTGTTTGTGAAGGAATCAGCATCGGTAACTAAGACAGTTAAAACATCGGAATTAACAGCCAGGTTTTCCGTGACATTGCCAACGTACACGTCACGAGTGAACGCAGGGTAGTTGTCGTTTACATCTGATACTCGAATAGTGACGTCAACCCAATCTTGCAACACGTGTTCACCTCCGTCCGAAACAGATACATTTAAACTGTATACAACTGTGTTTTCATAGTCAAGTTTATCAAGTGTGAAGATTTCACCAGTTTTGTAGTCAATGCCAAATTTTCCTTGCCCACCACTAGTCAAAATATAGGTTAGCCGTCCGTTAATTCCAATGTCGTCATCGCCTGCATGTACAACTCCGATAGTTGTGTGAATCGATGCGTTTTCTGCTACATTGAAATCGTACGATGATTGTAAAAATTCCGGAGAGTTATCGTTAATGTCATTAACTGTGACATTTACAGTGGCGGTCGCATCACGACTTCCTTCTAATCCGTCCCTGTCAGACGCAGTTACCGTCAACTCGTAGTCTCCTCTTGCTTCTCGGTCTAATAATCCAGTTGCGGTTATGACTCCGGTTCTTTCGTTTATTGAAAACGGAACGCCTCCATCTAACGAGTAGATAATTGAAGCGTTTGGTCCATTGTCTAAATCAGTAGCCATGACATCGCGAATCTACAAAATGAAAAAAAAAATGAAAATATCTCTCCCTTTCACAAAATGGCAGCCAGTGTGAAAAGACGACGATGCTATAGCGTATTACACATATTAACTTAAAGCGGGGGAGTCGTCACCTGCGCGTGTGCCAGATGGCCGTGTCATTGTTTATAAACAAGCGTTTACCCATGAGGCTTTGCATTTTTAGCGTGTGTTGTTATCGTTGCTTGGGACTCAATTCCCGCGCATGCGCAGGTGACGACCCTCCCACTTTAACGTGTTTATTGCATGTTAGTTATATAAACTTGAAGAGTTTCACTACTTATTTTGTATCTTAAGTTAGCTCACCATGATTACTGTTGTTCCTGCCACACTGCTCTCGTCAATATTACCATAGAAAACTGGCTCCACGAAATCTGGTTCATTGTCGTTTACGTCGACCACGTAGATGATAATCATAGCAGTCGATGTTTTGATGACGTCTCCCCGGTCAGCGGCAAATACTGTGAAGACAACGTGTTAGGGTAATTAGTAAAATGCATTTACGTTTTTTGTACACTGAGCCCAGTGTCCTTAAGCTTAAAACAAGTATGTCAGCGTAATACAATATATTAATGTGTACATACCTTGGAATGTGTATTTTCTGTTGTCCCCATCTTCGTAATCCAGACTTTGGTTGATAGATACTTCCCCTTTTTTGAGAGAATACAACTCATTACATATTCAACAATTGCTTTTGCGTATATATTTCAAAAAATGTAGTTTAATAAAATTACACGTAAATACGTTCAACTACCTGTTATCTCGTCCACGGCGAAGTCAGTTGTGTTTAGACTGTACGACACGTCGCCATTACTCCCAGCATCCGGGTCTGTAGCTGTCACTGTAAATAAATATGTCCCGGATGGTAGTTCTTCCTCTACCTCGGCTACATAAATGTTACTGTCAAACGCGGGTGTGTTATCGTTGACGTCTAACAATTGTATTTGTACTGTCGCGAAGTCTTGTAAGATCTCGACACCGCTGTCTGAAACCGTTATATTTATGATGTAGGTTTCCTCACTCTCCCGATCCAACTTGCTCAAAACAAAAATGTCGCCGGTGTTAGGGTGAATATTGAATTTACCGCCGCTCCCGTCAATAATAGAATACGTCAACCGAGAATTGATGCTGGCGTCATCGTCTACTGCACTCGCGTTCCCGATGCTATATCCAATCTCGGCGTCTTCCCTCACTGTAAAGTAGTATAACAAACCGTCGAACGATGGACGATTGTCATTAACATCACTGATTGTAATATGTACAGGTACACTAGTGTTGAGACTTCCTGCAGTCATGTCTCTGTCAAAAGCAATAACTCTCAATTCGTACAACGCTTTCACTTCTCTGTCTAGACTACTAGTCTTCGTTGTCATGACACCCGTCCTCTCATCAATTAGAAATTGATCACTTCCGTCGCCGTCAAGTTGATAAATAATTGATGCATTCATTCCTTGGTCTTCGTCTGTCGCTAAAATGCTTCGTAACTAAAACAAGATTCAGTAGTTCGAGGATGAGTAACTATTTGAAATGCAGATAATGACATCATCGGAGCCGAGAGTCAGACAATATATAATTATCATTATGCAATACTATTGTAGTGCTGACCCCCACACCCACCCCTCCTTGCAATACGCAATGACAGATACTACAGTATACTTATTCGCAGCTTTGATGTCATGTACACGTGATAGGTATTTTTGATGTTTTGAAACCTTTCACTTAGGTAACCGGGATTCGATTGTTCCCCTCGCTGGACTCACAAAAAACACGCACAAGCTCCGTTCATGTCCATTTAATTCTCCGCTTGTCCCCAGCTTTTCACCCGAGACAGCTTCAAATCACTTTTTTATTACTTGTCACCCATTAGCCAATTACAATACAGTATAAGAGACTTTAAGGCCTTGCCTTCAAACAAACAGCCAATCACATGACAGTTTTAAATTACGACCAACGTACCGTGTAATCTTAAAAATTGCAAACTCATGAGATGTCTCGTCTGATTTCGACTAGTTTCGCCATCTGGCCTTATCATTAACCTTTATCAGTATTTTAACCCCTATCAGTAGATGCCATGGCAACCACCATTAAGCTGAAATATAAATCATGATATACATACCATATTTACAGTTGTCCCGGCTACTGAGTTCTCATCAACGTTGCCGTGATAGAAATGCTCGGTAAAGTCCGGCGCATTGTCATTGATGTCAACCACCTGTATTTTGACAAAGGCAGACGACGTCAGGGCAGGCTCGCCTTGGTCAGTCGCGAACACTGTGTAAACAAATACGGGTACTGTGAGCACATTTCACGAATATGTCAGTCGTAGTAAGCACGCTTTTTGGACAAATTTGGTGGCAAACTGCAGATTTATTTAGAAAATGCGAGTAACTGAATTCTATAAACAATAAGGTCCATAACCACAGAATTAACGCTGTGTACTTATTTACGCACACACATTGCTTGTCAGAAATAAATGCAGCAATATTCCATAACACACAATAGAGAATTACCATAAAATTCATAAATTCGGTTATCTTCGTCTTCAAAATCCAACGATGTGCTTGTGGATATTTCACCTGAAAGATTGTATATATTTTATGAAAAAAAATTGTCAGTAATCCTACATCCGAATTCAGTTTAATTCTTCGAACGGCCAACTTTTAATCAACTTCGCGAATTTGATCTGCATATTTGTTTCACTGAATTGTGTAATGATTCAATTACAAATAATTATATGTAGTAACAAAAGTTACCAACGTCGTATTAAAGCGGGAGGATCGTCACCTGCGCACGCGCGGGAATTTAGTCCCATGCGATGGTAACAACAAGCTAAAAACGCAAAGACTCATGGGTAGACGCTTGTTTGTAATTTAATGACACCTATGGTCATCTGACGCATGCGCAGGTGACGACTCCCTGCTTTAAACCATTCACTTACCTGTTGTATCGTTTATAGCAAAGTCGAGGGTATCAAGACTGAAGACTATATCGCAATTACTTCCAACATCCGGGTCACTGGCTGTCACCGTAAACAAATATGTTCCGGATGTTAATTCCTCTTCTACATTCGATAGGTAAAAGTCAGTGTCAAACTCTGGTGTGTTGTCGTTGGTATCGATTACTTGAATATGTACCTCCGTGAAATTCCTGCGTATGACTTCACCACTATCAGATACGGACATGTTAATCGTGTATGCAGATTTGGTTTCGCGGTCGAGGTTACTTGCCACTAAGATTTCACCGCTGTCTGCGTCAACAACAAATTTCCCATCACTTCCACCAATCACGCTGTAAGTCAGTCGCGCATTGATATCTATGTCCTCGTCGTCGGCGTGAATAGACCCGACACTGTCACCAACATTGGCGCCTTCGCTCGTATCAAATGTGTAAAGGGTATCCTCGAACGCTGGATTATTGTCGTTGTCATCATTGACGGTGACATGTATGAAAACACTTGTGTTGCGGGAACCTTCCATCCCATTTCTGTCGAAAGCAGTTAAGATGATTTCATAGAAGTCAACGGTCTCCCGGTCCAAGTCTAGATTGCCACTATTGCTTGTTTCCAAGACACCTGTTTTGTTATCGATTCGAAACTGATCACTGTTATTCCCACTAATGCTGTATACGATCGATGAATTTAATCCCTGATCTACATCAGAAGCTAAAATGTCACGAGTCTGCAAGAACAATAATAATAAATGTGTGATCGTAATAATAGTATAAAACAGTAGTTGAATGAAAATAATCCAGCGGTAAATTTTTGGTAGTGGAAAGGTCAATGACAAATAACGAAACTATTCCTTTAGCTTATAGGGCGGTGGTCGTCGCGCAGCGTGCGTTCGAATTTCATGTAAACAAGCAACATGTTTTACGCGTGTTATGTACGTCGCTATAATCCGGGGGGGGGGGTACTTATTAAATTATACCCTTTTTCAAGTGCAAAAACTTAAAATAGATACCCTATATACATACTAAAATCATACTGTTTCCAAGTTGGGGTAACATCATGAATTCATGAGATTTCTTTTTTCACATTTTATTAATATATTTTAAAGTATTCGACCCTAAACGTGGTACACGCGTATATGCGTCAAGTAACTAAATTACACCCCTTTTATATCAAACAGGACGTGGCGCGACGACCGCCGCCCTTTAATCGACACTAAATAAGCTATTGGCCAGGTTATCCGATGTAACCCGGTATACATGTACTTCTGTCTTGGTGCGCTGCATTGCTACATATCAGATAGGGGCTCGCGCAAATTTACAACGGGGATTTCCCTCCTTGAGTATATCTCATTGATACTTTATCAGGTTCATCGAATAGGTCAGGTCATCGCACTATAACACGTACACATACTGCAGTATGAAGCATACTAAACATATCCATGGTGCTACATACCATTATCACCGTCGTTCCTGGCCCAGAATTCTCTTCGATATTACCATAGTAGACGTGTTGTGTGAAAATCGGAGCATTATCGTTTGTATCAAACACGTATACTTTAACGAGAACTGATGACGTCATGGGGATTTCACCTTGATCAGAGGCAAATACTGTAAACGAAATCAGAACAATAAGCCACAATGAAGAGCGCCACTGCCAACCTAGCTAGTCACGCGATACATAAAATGAATTCCGAGTAATGAGGATGTAGCTGGACGGGGAACCCCCTTAGCGCATGACAATTAAAAAAGCTTAAAGCGCATTCTAAGCGACGATAACATCGCACGCTAAAAACGCAAAGGTTTCTCGATAGTTTGTAAACAACGACACGCTATGGCCATCTGTCGCATGCGCAGGCGACGACACCTGCGCTTTAAAGTTCTAGAACTAACTATAAACGGAGTACAACATACCTTGAAACTCGTATATTCTATTCTCCTCGTCTTCGTAGTCTAAAACTGTTGTTGTCAACACATCACCTACAAATAAAACAGGCCAAGAGGTGATACTACAGGTTTGTTGAACACGGAATATATTACCATTTATTTAATTTAGTCGGATGGGGTCAACAAACTCATGTTAATACTGAAATAAAAAATAATTAAATAATCCGGAACTACTTTTACACTTATAACATATTCGGAGACAAAATTCGAACGAATGCCGATCACTCCACTCTCACCTAAAGAAAGGCATGCATTTTTGATAAACACGAATCTTCGGTAATTGTGCACTTGTCGATTTACTTGTATGAGGTAACAAGAGTTCGTATTAACGCATTCACGTACCTGTTGTATCGTTTATGGCAAAGTCGGTGGTATTAAGACGAAACAGTATGTTGCTATTTCTTCCAACATCCGGGTCACTGGCTGTCACCGTAAACAAATATGTCCCGGATGGTAGTTCTTCTTCTACATCGGCCACATAAATATCACTGGTAAACGTTGGTGAATTGTCATTGACGTCAAGAACTTGAATTTCCACTTCAGTGAAGTCTTGTAGAATGTTAACACCGCTGTCTGAAACTGACAATTTTAGGATGTACGTCATAGTGTGTTCGCGATCGAGCTGGCTGGCAACGAAAATTGCACCATTTCTTGGATCGACGTCAAATTTCCCCCCACTTCCACTGACCACGGAATACGTCAGCCTAGCGTTGATGCCAGTGTCATTGTCGAACGCACGTACTCTCCCGACGACGTGTCCAATGTCGGCATGTTCACTTACGGTAAAGTTGTGATAATCATCAAAAGCCGGTATTTCGTCGTTGACGTCATTGATTTGAATGTATAGGTAGGCACTTGTGTTAAGGCTTCCGTCTAGCCCGTTTCTATCGCAGGCAGTAACGACTAGTTCATATTGATCGATCGCTTCACGGTCCAAATTGAGTGCAGTATCGTTGTCTGATGTCGTAATTATGCCAGAGATATTGTCTATCTGAAATTGGTCGCTACCTTCACCAGCGAGTGTGTAAACTATAGCGGCATTGAGACCAGTGTCGGCATCGCTAACTTCAATAAAACGATCCTGTAACATACAAATTAATACATTAACCTTTTCACTACCAGCTCTCTCTTTTCATCACAAATTCACAAAATAGTCCATTACTTCAGAAGATTGGGACAAAAATAGCCAAATGTTTCGAGTGAAAACTGAAAATTTACTCACATTTTGTCTGTTGGCTCCAAAATTAGGTAATATAAGAACAAGTGCAGACAAATTTGAACGTCGGATGGCGAAAAGGTTAATAACGTTCATAATATTCAACTGTGCCAGTCGTCCAGTGTATTTGACCACATATAGTGCATCATAAAAGAACTTAGCAAGAAATGGACGTCGAGGTCTCATCAAGAACGAGACACACGAGACCCCCCCCCCCCCGCCATATAGTTTATGTTCTCTTCACTATTCCAAGCACTATGTTTACATAGATCCCAGGGAATATTGACCGCGACAACAAAAGATAATGTATCATAGTAGTAAAGCAATTGTCGTGGCTCTCATAGTCTCAACGAGATTTCATTGGCCATTTGCATTATTCTAAAGTATAATAACAAATACATGCCAGCAATCATAGCATACATCAGTTGGAAAGACATGAGTTACACCATTTCATGGTCAAATTGTGTTACACGATTAAGAAACGTTTAACAAATAAAAGGTGTATCACCGCACAGTTTTAACATTTTTTTTAACTGACTTACAATAATAACTGTAGTGTCAGAGAGGGAATTTTCATCTATATTTCCATAATAAGCACTTTCTGTAAACTGAGGAGCATTGTCGTTGCTGTCGAGAATCTGAACTCTGACACTTGAAGACGACGTCAGTGCTGGGATTCCTTGATCGTTGGCATACACTGTAGACAAAATTACACGCAGCATTAGATAAATGTTCGTACGTAAGCATTTGTTGGTTGATGTCATTTAACGACTGGTGGCTGTTGATTTAAAGCGGGG